TTGAATGATGTGGGACTTTGCTTGCATCCCAACAATAGAATCACAAATAAGTAATCACTTTTTTCTTATAGAAATTAATGACCAATATTTTAAGTCAATAAAAATGTATGATCAGAAGAAAAACATACACAAAATAACTTGAATTACTTATTTTTATGGAAGGAAATTTAAATGATTGTCGTTTTAATTTTTATTCTTAATGTGGAGGAATTTATGTTGCATGCACAATTTTATTATTTTAATTTTCACTTTTTATGCATGTGTTTTGTTTGTTAATTTGATGTGTTTCATTAATTTCTTGTTTTAGAATTAGTTAGAATTTCTTTTTGTTAATTCCATGTTAGCAATTAGTTAACTTTAGTTTTCAATCAACTCACTTCAATTAAGATTTAAAATAAATTGCATTGTTTTACTTGTGGTTGATATAATGGCAACATCATGGTTGGCCTTTTAAAGAAAATGGATAAAAAGAGCTTCCTTGAGACAAAAACGCCTTTATCTTTCTTATCTTAAATAATTTCTTCTTCATTTTGGATTACATTGTATGATATTATTTATAGAATTGTGTTAACTTGAGCAGCTTCCCTAATTTTCTTTCTTGATCCATTGAATGAAATATTTGAAAAACCTTCAAAAGTTGGATGTAAATAAAATTAATTGATTCACTTGTTTTCTCTGTAATAAATTTGTAGACTTTTCTTGAATCTTTGTATATAATTGAGAGGATGAAGAATACATAGTTGTTCATTAAATTTTTGGATTTTACATACCTTGGGAGTTTTGGACCTAATCAAAAATTCTTTGAATTAAGTGATATTTTCTCAATATTTTTATCTGTTTCAAACTTTGCTTTAGTTCTTTAAATTTTCACAATTAAAAAGATTTTATCATGATAGAGACATATTTTCTTCCTTTTAACTAGAGCCAAATATGTTCACCCCTATATATATAATCATTTTTAACCAATTTTGGGACTAAATTAACATTCCTTTATGGTTTAGTGCATTACATATACCTTTGATTTGAAAGACCATGAATAACCATGATTGGTAAGTGGAATCTTAAGCTAAAAGCTTAAGATTAGGTTTATTCATCAAGATTTACTTGGGGACAAGCCAAAGTTTTAAGTTTGGATAGGGCATAACAAATAATCCTTTTAAAAAATGAGAGAGAGAGAAAAAAAAAAAAAAAAATAAAAAAAGAAAAAAAAAAAAAAAAATAAAAAAAGAAAAAAAAAAAAAAAGAAACTACATATATGTATGCATATAAAAAAATAATAATCATAAAAGACAAAACAAGACCTAGCCACATTAGAGACAAGACAATTTTTGATATTGAGGTTAATTGAATTTTTTTTATGAAAATAAGTTAGGCTTAAACTTAAGGAATTAGTTGTCAATCAGTTAAGCCTAAATAACTTTCTTATTCACCCTTACCTAAGTCCCATTACAACTTATCACCATTCTACAACTATTTTCATGACTAAAAAATGAATATACATATAACAATTCAAACTTTGGTGATGATTTAACAAACTTATCACCATTTCAAGCAAAAACTCACCACAACTCTTTTGTAGCTAAACAATTTCACATTATAATGAGTCATACGTCATTTTAAAGTATTGAAAATACAAACACTTTTCCATGTAAAAATCTACAAAAAAATTATTAGAAATTATAGAGTACACAAAGGTCAGATTTTCAAATTCTTCAATAATCCTATTTTGAAATGCACTTTTATCATTTTAACCTAAATGAAAATTTTAAACTTTACACCTGAATTCAAGTCCTATAAGTCTAATTTTCATAAATGTGCTCAGTTTTCTAAAATAATATTTATTAAAAAAAGTGCAAAATATTAATCATATTTGTTTCGAGCTTCATTCATAAGAACTTATGGTTTTTACAATTTAAATAAAAATTTAACCGCTCAAGCAAAATGGTTTTTGGTAAAAAGAATCTCCCAATGAAAGCTTAACGAGTACATATTTCAAATGTATTGGTTTTCTCATAAGTTTTATACAAAGAGAAATTACTAAAATAGTTTACCAATATAAAAAAGAAAATCATCAGTAAAATGTTTAACTTGCGATAAAATTTACTAAGTCAAACATAATGTTTTTAAATAAAGCTTGAGCCAAATTTGAATCTTAAGAAGTCTAATGTCTATATATGTAATCACATCATTCAAACATTAATATTTGATGGAAACAAATAACAACCACATCATTCAAACATTAATATTTGATGAAAACAAATAAAATAAGGTAAGCATCCCTTACTCTTTTAGATCCATAAAAAGATAAAGCTTTAGGTGGAGAAATGGAGTTTTAGTTTGAAAACTTGCTCCTCAAACCCAAAGCAGATGATTGTTGAAATTCAATGTAGATGATAAATTATTGAGCAGAGTATCTATACATACATATATATATATATATATATATATATATATATATATATATATATATCAAAGATGAGAAAAAATTAGACAACTTGTGTGGTAAGTTGTATCCAAGGACATCATAGTTATTTAACTAAATGTTTTTTCTTACTCTTTTGGATGGAGGATATTAGTTTATTAAGAAGAGATTATTTTTAATTTCTTAGACTAGTGTAAGTGTAAGACCTTTTTCAAAGAGCTAATCAACCTTAAAAAGTAAAAATTATTTTATTAAACCTAATATATCAATCTATCTTGAGTAGCCTTCAACTCGCCACTAATAAGTTAGGTATTTAGGTGAGTTGGATCACCTAATCCACTTCACCAATTTTAAAACATTAATTTTCCTTGTATCTAGGCCTAATTGAACTTAAATATTTTTTTTTTGGTATAAATAAGAGTGTAACTCCAAATGAATTTGAATTTAGATATTTAAGTTAGATCCAACACAAGCAAGTAGATAATCCCCAAAAGAGATATCTATATTTAGTATTATTTGTAATTTGAACAATTGTTTTTATGTTTGTATTTAGCACCCAATTGCACCTTGAAAATAACTATATCAACTAGAATGAATTACAACTTAATCATCTTTTAACAACTAATACAATTTAACCAAATCACTTATTGTGCAATGATAACCTTCACATAAAACAATGCATAGGAAGTTCTACTATTCCTATCATACTCATCGTTATCTGAAACACAAGAAGATTTTCTACAAATTTCATGAAGAACTCAAGTTTTAATTCCATCATTTACCATGTTGAAAATTGTAATGAGTTATTATGTTGTTGAGCTGTGTTGACCACTTAGGGTTACAGGAGATATTTTTTAAAGTTGCATAACCCATTGTGTGGATATTATGTTATGGTGCTCTAAGAGCCCAATTTGTTGAAAAATCCTTCTTGGAAAGTTGACCCTTGAAGTGGATATTGTGTTGTTTTTCCTCTAGGACTTTTTTGATACTCTATGTGGATAAGGTCGCGACACATGTGTATGAACTATGAAGCAACCGCAGTATAGGGGCCAGGTCGAACTATATTAATTACAAGTGATCAACCGAATAAAGTACGAAATCGAAAACTTAATTCTTAATCGAGTATCAGAAGGTTGTATTTAGAGGATAGTCGATGGGTTAATCCCATAAGAGGATTAGTTAAACTAGCTAATGTCGTGGTACGCTTGTACCCAACTATTTTATCCTGACAATAGTACTATACTTCCTTATTTAAGTGGCAATATATAAGAAACTGAGTTGTTGTGTTGTGGATTTATATCCAAATTGATGTTGATCTAGCAAACCCAAAAAGATCACCCTATGTTGTCAGTTCGATAGAATCAAGTCACTTAAACTGCTCACCCTGTGTTATAGGGAATCTCCTAGTTGAAATGCGTAACAACGCTTATAATTGTTATGTATAGCATATGAGGTGTTAAGATGATTGTGTTATTCATATGTTGCATTGAACTTTGATGAAATGTGTTGTTATGTTGAATCAAAGTTGGATTATGTTAATCTCTGTTGTATGTTGTGATATTTTGTTGCTTTGTTGTCAAAGATGAGATGACGATGTGATGTTCTTATGTTGTATATATGTGTATGTGTGTGTTTCCTTTTTTTTCCTTAGCTTACTCTTACGTGTTTTCATATAGTTTGGACTGCGATGATCATGTGTGGTATGGAAATAAGGTAGGGATAAGGCTGGAGTGTTGCAATAGAGGCCATACAATGGCATTAAAGCTGAATTTTTTGATGACTTCCTATTAGTGGTAGATTTATATAGATAGTTATAATTTCTTAACTGACAACTTAGTTGTATATTTACATATGCAAGATCACTATATTGTACATATTACAGTAGTCATTTTATCCTTACAAGCATACAATATTATACATATTCTAGTATTTATAAGTATATGATTTTAAGCTAGTAGTTGTATCGTTTAGTGTAGGGACTATAATCAGTCGTTACACTTTTACAAATTCAATAATTTTAGTTTCATTTTTTTTATTTACATGAATCAAATTTGATATTAAAAAATTTACAACATTTACATATTATATCTAGCTAAATGAGTTACAACCTATTATTAATTCAATTTTCATTTAATATTAAGCTTGTAGCATTTATGGTTTAAAATTAAGTATAATATCATTAAATTAATTTTATAAATTTTATTTATACTAATATGTAAAAAAATACTCTTTTTACTAATTAATTTGATCTCTAGACCATAAAAAATGAAAACTTAAATTCAAGATTTTGAAGATTAAGGATTATCCACAATACCAACTAAATTAATATTATTTTATTATTTTATTTTAAATTTTATTTTATTTTTAATAGAAGTATAAAATATCTCTATCCACCGGTGTCAATAAAATAAATTGAATAGAATCACTTTACTAAGAGAGTTTGAAATAATGTATACCAAAGTTTGGAGGTTTAACATGATAATGATGATTATAATTTTGATAAATAAAAAATAAAATAAAATTTAATGGAACATGGAAATCTCGCGGGGAGCAGTATATATATGGATCCTCAACATCGTCCGTGTCACCTGCTTCCGTTATTTCTTTTTATCATTAGTTCTTTAAACTGCACAACACAAAGCTTTCAACTTTCTCTGAATTCAAACACCCCTTTTCTGTTTTCTCTTCTCAGCACAAATTCTCTCTTTCTGCTTCGTTTTTGGGTGTCCTTTTATCATGGGTCGTCCACCCAGTAATGGAGGCCCCGCCTTTCGCTTCACTCAGCCTGAGGTATTCATCTGAATTTCAACTTCGCGTGATTTTTTCTCTTTTTCTCGTGTATTTATGTATTTGGTGATTGTTTTTTTGCTGAATTTTTAATCTGGCTCAAATGGGCTCCCCTTCTTAATTTCCTCATTTTGGTGCTCTCAATTTTGTCACTGGACTGATTTTGTGGCATTAATTTTTGCTGTGCGTATGTGTGTGTGATGTTTGGTTTCTGAATGGTGGATATTTCATTTCTGTTGGTTTGATAATCCAATACTGGATGTTGAAAATGCATGAATCAAGTTAGGGCTCTAACATTGGACAATGAATTAGGGTAAAGCATGGTTGCATCACTTTCTAAGTCCCCCTTGTATGGTATCCTCGTTATTTTGTGAAGTTGATGTGATGTGGAAACCTTACTTCCCTTAATTGGGTTTTGTTCCCGGTCTTAGGATTTGCGTGTGTGGGATTAGGCCATAAGTGTTGATTTGGTGCTACCAAAACATATTTGGTCTAGTGCCATGTTATATTTCTTGTTTTCTGAATGGTTGAATTGTATGATTAATATTGATCATAGGGAATCATTCATGTATTATACAATTTAAAGTCATCTGTGATTTGTCACACACTCACATGATACGAACCACTGACTAGTCCAATTATGTTGAGAATCATGCGAATTCAAATCACAAGTTGTAAGATTCTATCAACTGAGATTTTCCATAAAGCGTGCTGTCAAAAACTATTGTTTCTTTCTGTAGGTAACAGAAATGGAAGCTATTCTTCAAGAACACAACAATGCAATGCCAGCACGTGATGTTCTTACTGCTCTTGCGGAGAAGTTCAGGTGTGCCTCTGTGCCTAACTGCCTATGCTATTATTGAGTGCTGTAATGAGTATCAGACTACTAATAATATTTAGTTTTTGCTCCTGAAAAGTGTGATTAAAGTTGTGCTTTCTTTCTTTTAGTGAATCGCCAGATCGTAAAGGCAAGATTACGGTGCAGATGAAGCAAGTATGATATCACTACTATATTTTATTTCAAATTGGAATATTTCACACTCCATTTTCTTAGTTTTCCCCTTCATTATAGGTTTGGAATTGGTTTCAAAATAAGCGGTATGCAATAAGAGCAAAATCAAGTAAGACTCCGGGGAAGTTAAATATTACACCTTTAGCTCGGGATGATTCAACCCCAGTAAGGAGTATGCCTCAACAACCAACAGCTGCTCCAATTCCTGCTGCTTCTGCTTCAGGTAGAATGTTACTGCTTTTGAGTGCTTAATTACTTTATTTTGCTTGAATAAATGGCCACACCTATTTGTTAATCCTGCAGGCTTTATGTTGTGTTAATTTCTTTTTCAAAATTTGATCATGCTTTTACTCAGATCTTATACCATATCAGTGGCTTATCTTGGGTCTGTAATTTATTTGAGTTTATTATGCTGATTTTCCGAAGTTGTTTAGTTTATTGTATACTCAAATGGAGGGCTAGATGTATACATATTTTGCTGCATTATGTTTTCAGTTTGAACTTGCTGTTAGCATGTATTGTGGGAAAAAAAGTAATGAATTATATTTTGTGGAGGGATTTTTGTTACCATTAGGATATAAAAGAATGACAAATCTTGTTATGTATCTTGTTTTCCAAGTATTAGTGTCATTTGAACTGTTTTTAATCTTGTATAGCTTTTAAGGTGTAATAGATACTTTATGATGCCATAATCAGTGTGACTGTAAAAGAGACCAGAATCGAGGTAAATGGTGTAGCACATTTCTAGTCCAGCTTGTTTTGAAGAAATAATTGATTTTTTTTTCTTTTCTTTTGACAGCTTCTTGAGAAAGCTTGTGAAAAGAAAACAAAGTTATTTCCCAAAAAAAGCTGCTCCCACACATGCTAGTAATCTATATTGCTAGAACAACCAATATCTAGGTATCAGGGTGATATGAGCAGAGATCAAAATGTGATACAAAAGTAGTGTGAGACAGTTCTCAACTGTCTGAATGATCTTTTTCATCTGAACTATTCATGATCAAAAACCAATATGAACTTTGTGTGGAATGTGTTTGACATTTCATTCAAAAGGAATTAAAAAGGAGAGGGGGCATTAATTGAGCAAAAAGTCATGACCAAAAACTCAGTGTCCCTCTTGAATACAAAAGGAAGTCTTTGATGGTATCCAAACAGAATATACAATACTTACATTTACCGTTTCTCACAGGTTCCATTGGTTCTGCCACTGGTAATATCAGCCCCTCTCCCCTTCATTTCATGATGCACCGGAAGTTGCCCCATCCATTGGAGTTCTTGTGGTGCAAGTTGAAAATTTCCAGAAGTCCCTTGATTCTTCTCAGTCAAGCTTCTTGCAGCTCCCCTGAGATTCTTGAATCTCCATCTCTGCCTCCAATTTTATTTTCTAATTCTCATACCTTTCTCCAAAGCCTTCATTAGATTCTCCATTCTTGGCTGAGCCATATATAACTCCTAGGATGTTGCGAGCTCATATACTAATTAATAGTACTAGAGCAGAATCGAGGTAAATGGTGTCATCTTTAATGTTGGAACAATCAATTAGATGAGAATCAGGGTGATGTTGTTGGAAAGCCGCCTTAATTGTAGCCACCCTAGCCTGCCTAAATCGTGGCCTCTTTGATCTACCTTTGTTGCAGCCTCTGACATCTTCATTGTGCTTTATAACTAACTAGAGCTGTTCAGTGACTAGCAAGATGGTTACTGCCGTTATCTTTAATTTTTTATGAATAAAGGTATATGAAATTGTGATTTTACTTAGGGTAATGAAAGGGAGTTAAGATAGTAAGTCATGCAATTGTAACATAGGTTGTAAGATCGTACAAAATTTATAAATTCTTACAGCTAGGCTTTCCCTTCCCTATACCCAGTGTGCCAGACACGAAAGAGAAGAGGAGAGCAGGACAGGTGCAAAAGAGAAGAGAATAACCAATCATCCTGAGTGAATGTAGCAAACAAGAGCATTGAAGAGGAGGAACAATGAAGGAGGTGAAGATTGATGGAGAAGAACTGAACATCATTCATCTCATTGGCAAGAATGGCTGAAAGTTGGGGCAAGATTTGACTGGTTTAGGGTTTTTAAATTGCAAACAATTTTGGGTTGCAATCAGGTTGTGGGTCATGGGTCTGAAAAGGGTTTTTCTTAGGTGCCGTGAGATGGCACAATCCCCCTGATATCTCAATCTTGCATAACAATCTCACTTGTTTTCACCCAATCCTGATTTTGAGCAAAATCAAGATTACAATACACACCCAGGATCATAGTTATTAGAATCGTATGCTTCATGATTTAAATCCCATGGTTTGATACATTTCAGCTACCTTCAGATTTGTGTCATAAGGTCAATTCCAAATGAATTTGAATCTTGCGATGCATGGGTTACTAGGGTTGACCTAGTGGTGGGTTTGAATAATTTACATGAGGTCATAGGTTCTAACATCAGTGCTGTCCAATTCAAACCATAATCACTCAAGATATCCTTATTTCTTCCATCTCCATCTCCTTGTCATTCATTAGCCATATTGGCACCAACCCAGGTTGGGTTTGACATCTTAAATCAAAGAGAACAAAAATTGAGAAAAAGCAGTGGCCAGTGAGTTGTGAGCAAACAAAGGTTATTGAACAAAATAGAGCCACTGGGCGTGGGTGCTGAGGCAGAGGAAAAATAAAAACAGAGTCAAAGAGTGGGGAGGGTTTAGGGCATTACCTTTGATGTGACGAAGAAGACCTCCGATCACGATGGCAAATAGATTTGAAATGGTGGAGAATGGTTGCAGGCTCAGCAATTCGTTGAGCAGTTTTGGAAGGGTCAGCGACCATGTCCGTTTGCAACTTTGCATGACTCGTCATCGTGCCTTGAATGGTCCGCAAAATGAGTAAATATTAGGTTTTGGGTAAGGTTTTAGGGGCTTATGATCTTAGAAGCCCAAACGAAAAAAAAAAACCCTGTAAATGTTTGGCCCAATTCTAAAAGTTGGCTCAAAATAATTGAAGCCTCTGAAAATGCAAAGTGTGCTACCGATTATGCGATTGGCGTGGTGATTCCAGTTACTACTCTCTGATGATTCTGGGTGCGGACAAACTTGCATAAGGGATCAGGATCATAGAATCAGATGATTATACATGATTATACATGCTGGCACACAATTTTGTCCACCATGTTGCCGCCATTGTACACCAAAAAAAGAAAAGAATCTTACAATACAAAAATGAATCGGTACAATTTCGTATCATCGATATGAGTCACACGATCAACAATTTGTTTTCTTTTTTCCTTTTTCTTTGACCAATTCTACTGAAAAAAGTTGAAAAGTTGTATGAACTTAAATTGTTAAATGAAAAGGACTTGAAGGAACAATTTGGAACTTATCCTATTTGATCATTTAACTACTTTAATTATCACTCACTCATTATTCAATACAAGTACTCTGTTTGACCATTTCGATACCTTCCATTCTTCTAAAATAGAGGCTTCAGAAACTGAGATATAGCTTATAATTTTGTTTTATGAGAGTTGTGATTAAGTTGTTTTTATCTATTTATAGTATAAAATTTATACATTGAATTTCAACATATATAATATATTTGAAGTCATTTTTCGTTGTCTTTGAATCTTATGATTCAATACAAATTTATGATTGACATTTTAAAAATTAAGTTGTGGTTCATGATTTGAATCTCAATTTGGTAACCTGTCCCAGGGTTGGAATAATGTACAAACTTACAGTAAAGATCATGATTTTAACTTCCGTTCTTTACTCACCCTTGGTCTTCCTAATGTAGACTCTCCAGATCGGAGGTTTGCTAACAGGTTGGATCCTGATATAGATTGGGTACTATCTTTCATCATACTTAATAATATATAAAGTGTGCCAACACATGGTTTGAGATTCATCATCAGCTGTGACTAAGCTTAAAATGTAAAGCTCCTCCAAATTAATTGTATATATGTGAACACATTATGTTGCTGTAATTTTTTAGTTTACATGATATAATATTTCTTACAAAGATTTTAATATATAACAGCATTATTGAATTTACTGGTGATGATATTGGATGAAAGGTTTTCTGCTTCCTTAACTTAATGTTTTTGTGAGGGGTATTATGTGGCTTTAAACCTTTACTAATCAATAAGTAAACCTTAATTGAAAAAAAAGGTCCTACTACAGTTTGTGTCTTCATTATAGACTATGGTGTCTATGTTTTATGCTCTTGATATTTATTTTGTTTACTTACATTGCCTTCATTTTGTTCTACTCAGTTCCAACAGTAGTAAAAGCAGCTCCAGAAAGTTCAGTTATGGAATTTGAAGCTAAATCTGGAAGGGATGGAGCATGGTCAATATTTCCTCTTTAATAATCTTTAGGATCTTTTTGTTGTTGACTTTTCTTAATTATTTTACATTTGTGGACCTGACTTATGGTCTTCTTATTGTTAGGTATGATGTGGCTACCTTTCTATCTCACAGATATTTGGAGACCAGTGATCCGGTAATTTAAATCTAAGATTATTTCTGATTATAGGTTTTGTGAAGAAATTAATGAGGCATTTTGATATGGTTTTCAATTTCCCTTTCTCTTGAGAATATTTCATTGGCAATCCTATGATTTTACTGCTTTCTATTCCCGCATGCATGTCCATATGAATGCTAAGATTCGCTGCTAAAGTCATGTAGTAAAATGTTCTTAGTGGTTGAACCTTGAAGAACTTGTTAGAATATGACTCCCTCCATTATTTTTTGTTTGACGTTTAAGGTTTATGCACAAGAATTAATAAAATGATTAATATTTTAGTTTTTCAAAGTATTTATTACTTATTTTCTTGTTATACCCTTTAGGTGGTTGGAGAAGAAATAATTATATTGGAAATGAATAAACACATTGTTCAATAAACACACATTAATTACTAAGGGTAAAAATGAAAAAGAAAATTAATAAGTCATTGATTTTAGAAAAGTGACAATGAAAAAAGAACAAAAAAATAGTGTCGAAACGACTATGAAAAAAAAAACGGAGGGAGTAGTAGCTTTTAGTCTTGTTGTCAGTGGGCATTTGTTTGCACATGCATTAATAGTTCTTGATACGATTATTATAGATAATATCGTTTATTTCTAATCCCTAGAATTTGGGAGCTCGTAGAATGTTGTTTGGATTTAACTCAATTCTACAAAACTAACTTATAAGGTAAGATTTACCTCCATTTATATACTTTTTTTGGGCCTTATCTTTAGTCATGTGAAACTTGGGTTTGTTTCAATACACCTCCGTATACCCAGTATTATTGGACTTAGTATATGGATAATATTGTAATTGACCCCTTTAATAGATATAAGATAGGTTTTGATACTATGCAAAAATATGAAATATTGTTTATAATTAACTGTGTATGGATAAGCTTTGGTACCATCTTGAAATGTGGGTTTGAACTTAAATCAACTTCTAAAAAACTGGCTTATAAGGTAAGGGTTCTCTCTCATTTATATATTATTTTTTTAGCCTCAACGGTGTTGGGTTTGGTGTGTGGATAATGTGGTAGTTGACCCTTTTAATAGATATATGATCGTCTTTGATACCAAGTAGAGAATATGAAATATTATTGATAATTAACTATGCATGGATAAGCTTTAATATCATCTTATTTGAGCCTAACTTAATCTTAAAAGCTGGTTTATAAAGTGAGTATTGCACTCCACTTATATATTCTATTTTGGCTTTTGGAGTTGGCTATACCCAATAGGAGCTGTGACACCCTCTACCTCAACATACATATATAGTAATTATAAAAATAAATAAATAAATAAAGTTTTTCATTATTAAAAACCAAATTTCCAACCACGTAAGGGTAAAGAGTTCACATTCATAAACTTAATCCAAATTAAAATTACAAAGAAATAAAACTGATTTTTCCAAAATAATTTAATAAAAACATCTTAAATTAATCCTATCTATGCTCCGATGTCACATGTCCTATCAAAGCAAAGCCCAACATAGAAGCCTAAGCTTGATCACCAACATCCTCAGCCTCACGCTGATGTATAACAGTCAAAGAAAAACAACACGAGAAAAGGGAGTGAGAAACATCTCACAACATCTCACTCTGACTCACAGTGTAGAAATATATGCCAGATAACCAAACACAAACAAAACAGGTATAACGTAGATAAATTAATAATAACATCACATCTCACTCATCCATTACATAAACCATCACTTTATCATATAACATTAAAAATGCATAAGTATGGACACGAACTACATATTATCATACATGTGGTGCCAGTAACATATCACATGGCATATTACCGCTAGCAATACACGAAGAGTAGTCTAGGAGTACATGTCGGGTCACACCCTCTGCGCACCTTCACTAGAAGGACATACTAACAGGGTCTCGTCGGGATAGCTAAGTCGTGCAAGATACATCCCATGCACACAATGGGCAAGACTGGGATTTCGAAACCGAGCTATCCTCAAGGACTAATCTTCAAAGCTTTTACACTAGGGGGCCTTCCCTGGCGGTGTATTTCATATCGTACCCTTAAAAACATTTATGCAAATGATGCATGTCAATCAAGACTCTATGCATTCTCATATAACATTGTCATGTCTTATTATCATATCACATCATGTCTCATTATCACTTTTCACATCATCTCATCATATTCACATTGTCTCTATAGAGCACTCAAAATCATATCAAAATTTGTCTATTTTCAAAAATAAACACATATTTATATATCTCATTCAACAAGGAATACATTAGAACAGAAGACATTCATATTTTGCCTGTTTCTCATAGGGTTCCCACAGGAACCCACAAAGAACTTTAATTCATACAATAAACATTTAAAACAATACAATTAACTCATACAATTACCTCTTCAAATCATCTCCTCTTATAATCACCAATGCATTCCCTTAGGGTTTCCCATAGGAGCCCATAGAAATCTCAGATCATACAATTAATTACATATAAGAAAACAATAAGCGAAACAGATATAATTGGGGAAAACCCCTCATACATGAGCATGCAAAAAATACAACAAACATAGGATTGGGGACCAATCCCACTACCCAACAGATATTCCCACACTCAAAGCGAGGTTTCTCACTCCTCCCTTACCTCGATAAGTAGGAGCTGAAACTAAAACCGCATCTTGTTGGTCTCCTCCTCTGGTTTCCCTTGGTCTTCAGAGAGTGTAGAAGAAAAGAGGTCAGAAGTGAAAAATGTGTTTTTAGAGTGTTAGAACGTTCTATTTATAGGCATCAGATGTGGCCAGAACGACCCGTTTCAAATCCGGAATGGCCCGTTCTGGACTCATGTGCCATACGTAAATTTCACATCCAGAAAGGCTTGTTCCAAAATTAGAACGGTCCATTCTGAAATTACATATTACCTAAAACAGTCATGTTTGGAACGGCCCATTCCCAAAGTGGAACGGCCCGTTCTGGAATCGCGTATTACTCATAAAATCATGTGTTGGAACGGCCCGTTCCAATTTATGGTTTAAAGGTCATTTTAGTAGTTTGGAACGGCCCGTTCCAGTTTGGGAATCGCCCATTCTGGGCTACTAAAAAAATAAAAATATTATCAAAATTAATTTTCATAAATATTTATTATTAAAATACTCATAAATATTAAAAACCTTTAAAACATTCTATAAAATCCATTAAAATATTTATAAGAAGATAACCTCCATAAATATAAAAATAAAAAATAATTAACTATTATACTAGTAGAAAATTCGGGATGTTACAGGAGTCATGTTTTATTAGGGATTATATTTGTAAACTATAATCAAATCTGAATTCTAATCTTGAATGTAAATTCAGAAGGGCCAAGAGGAATTCTCTCAAGTAATTACAAGAATTCTAGAGAGTTCAAATTGGTGTGCAGAACCTACTCTCTGGTCATGAGTCATTTTTGCTACCACTGTGAACAAACCCACTAAAGTCCCCACTGCCATTAACAATTCTGGCAAAGTCCTAATAACTGAACTCTGGCAATATGTCAATTCAAAATGGACCTGACTAACTTATACCTGAAAGAGCCTCCATCTTCCATCTGATGCACCTCCACTTACTGCCACAATGTGCTGCACTTCTCAGCATGTACAGCTCACTTTCCACCCTACATGTGTATTTTCCAGGCACTTGTTTCCCTGCTTTTTGGTCTGGTTCCTCTGCCTTCCTGTTATTCATTATATACCTTGTAAACACACTCACTCTCCTATGAATCTTAATGTTAAGCTTTTAATAGATCTTGGGGGGCTTCACTCAGACTATTGAATAGTAGGAAACTGTTTATCTCACCATGACCAGGCCAGACATTTCCCTTTTTGCAAGTGCTGTGTGTCAATTTCTTAACACTCAATGAGATAGCTGTTAAGATGCAGAAATTCAGAATTTGAGAGATATCAAGAGTTCTGTAGGATAGGGATTCATTTATGAAAACAAAGGGCATGCAGACATTGTTGGTTATGCAGATGCAGACTGGGCACATTCCATTAGTGATAGAAAATATACTACGTCTTGTGTCCTTTTTGTTTCTTAGTTTCCTGGTCACTCATTAATGGTGCTGTAACTATCTCGAGTTTGTCCTCATCTTTTGTGGGAAACATAAATAGAATTTCTTGTTTGCTTCATCTTATTTTGTTGAGGCTTTTCCTTTATATATCATGTGATAGTAATGTCTTTCTCCGTGTTTCAGGAAGTGCTGGTAAGATTTGCTGGTTTTGGACCTGAGGAAGATGAGTGGATTAACATTCGAAAACATGTCAGGCCACGCTCTTTGCCATGTGAATCATCTGAATGTGTTGTAGTCATCCCTGGTGATCTCATACTTTGTTTTCAGGTAGGAATAGTTGTAGCCAGGTTTCATAAAAAAGTTAATTTTAATCATGGACATTTATTTTTCTCTAATCATATTTTGCTTTTTGGAACATATATTTTTCCTTATCATTTATTTACTCTTCATTTTCTGCAATACAGGAAGGTAAGGAGCAAGCTCTTTACTTTGATGCCCATGTCCTTGATGCTCAAAGACGCAGGCATGATGTACGAGGCTGTCGTTGTAGATTTTTGGTTCGCTACGATCATGATCAGTCAGAGGTATTAATTTTTCAGTAAGATTTCTTCTTGTGGGATTTTATTTTCTATGATATTACTCCTCACTTTTTATTTTTGGTTTACATAAGATTTTAGTCCCTATTGTTTTCATTTTTCACTGAGTTTTTGATTCCTATAGTTTTTAATTTTGGATATCAGTCAGAGTTATTAATTTTCAATAAGATTTCGTCTCTTGGATTTTTTATTTATGATCTAGTTCTGTCACACTTTTGGGCTTTACGTAAGATTTTAGTCTATATAGTTTTCAGTTTTTACTCATTCGAGTTTTGGTTCCTGTAGTTTTTATCTTCGGGTATCAGTCCATAAACTTCAACTTATTTGGCCTTTTGTCCAGGTTTAGTATCGGACGTCAGTCCCTATAATTTTCATTCGTGTGGGTTTTAGTCCATAGTTTCTACCCATTGAGATAATGATCCTTATTTTTCATGAAGATTGCTTCCTATAGTTTTTACTTATTAAGGTATTGGTTCCTCAGGGATCAAAACCCACACAATTGAAAATGTAGGGACCAATATCCAAAACATACTAGAGACAAAAACCTAAGTGAAAGGAAATTGTAGGGAATCAATCATATGGAGCCAAGGTAGCAATTTGTTTAATTATGATGATGAATCACAGTTTTGGTTCTGAGGGGCAACATGTCATACTCCATAAGCTCCTTATGCAACTATTTTCCACACCATTTCTGTAGATGTTACAAATCTTGCTGTAATGTCTTATCTATAAATACTTATTGCTTTAAAAGGTTTCCAAATTATATATAACAATATCCTTTTCTTTTCTGAAAATAATGATTCCCCAATAAATCTATTTTACGATGGATTTTCATTCCGATGGCTATCACTCCTTATGAGAGGATCAATGAATGCAGAATGGCTGAAAAAAGGTAAACTGAAAATCATGTGACTGCATGTTCAGTCCTATTGCTTCATAATGGTGCCATTCAAAAATAGGCAGAATAGTGCATTTTACAAAGCTTTACAAATTTGTTTTAAATTCTATAACAACATTCACTGTTTAAGGTCACTCATTTGATGCATTTTGTTGATTCATCCATCTTGTGTTCTTGCCAGGAAATTGTGCCACTTAGGAAGATTTGTCGCAGGCCCGAAACCGACTACCGGTTACAGCAACTTCATGCTCTGAATGAGGCAGCACATGTGGATCAGCAAAAGACTGGCATGGATCCTACAGCAAATGTTAATGCCATGAGGGTTACTACTGAAACAGTGCCAAAGCAGCTGATTGCAGCAAACATTCATATGGAGACCCCAGTTTTGCAAACAAATGTTCCTGAAAGTATGGATGTGGATCCAAAGAAAGCTGAAGCAATTACTGATGTTCAAGCAGGAAATTCCATCATCACCCCAGGCAGTACCCCATTTACTAACATCATCACTACAAGCAGTGTTCCTGAAGTTTCAAGTCAGACTCAGAACATGGTTGAATGAAAATAGCTGTTTCATTTTTCCAAACTTGATGAGACTTGAGTACAATTTTTTTTTTTAGAACTATTTAGCTTATATTCTGCAGACAATGATTACAAGTGACTTTCTCTTGCTGTTTTATTTGAACCATAGAAATTAAAAAGAAAAATGAGGTTATACAGTTATGGAGCATATAGCAGGGTACTTTTTTTTATTTTATTTTGAGGATTTTTTTTCTTCTTAATTGCACTTCTGATCTCATAATTTGGTTTGCAAGTGATTTTGGTTCTGAGGTTTATTTTGTTAGGTAGTTTTATTTTTAAAATTAAATGAATTTATGGTTTGTTTGATTTTCTTCTTCCTTTGTGTTTTAAAAACTGTTTTCTAAAATTATTTCACACTACTTATGAATCAATTTTTCTTTAGTTTTGAAACTTGTTTTCAAAACAAGTGTTTTAAAAAACCAAAAGATAGAAATAGTTGCGAGCTGTTTTCCCATTTTCTTCTTTTGTTTTCAAGTGTTTTTGTTCAAGTGTATCTGTAGCAGATAAACTTATAGAAAACACAAATTTATTTAGGAAACAAATATTTTTAAATGAACTTGGCAGACAAACTTAAGAAAACAAAAAATTGTTCTAAAAACAATAAACAAGCAAGGCCTTAGTCTTTTCATCAAATTTCTTCTGCTTAAAATCCATAAATTCTCATTTTCTATTTAAAAATATGTGGGATTTATGATAAATTTAAGATATAAAATAATTTTAGAAGTTCGAAATTAGTGAAAATTCTCCTTCCCATCCAGAGAGATAGCAAACAAGAATTCCTCACCACATACCTATAAAAACAAGATTTTCACCAAGATAAAAACTTCACAAAACTAATTTTCATTGCATCTAGGCATTTTTTTCTTAAATATTTTTTTAATCCTTAAATTTGGGGCAAGTTTATTTTGCCTTCTCAAATTTAAAATTAATCTTTTTAATTTTAATAATTTAAAAAAGATACTGAAATTTAGTTCCTCTATCCAAATATTGTTAGGAAACTTCTCACTTAAAATCATCTATTATGGAATTTTTCACACAAATCTCATCTACTAGAGTTTTTGATAATGAAAACAGTTTCTTTCTTCGTGTTTTTTTCCTTTCTTTCTAGAACAGGGTTGCTTATTCCAGGAGGATTTTCATATAACCCTAAACTTAGTATGGTCACCATTGCCATTTCACCGGGTTGTCTTATTTGGGATATATCTTCATAGCTCCCATTGGATGAGAGTAATTCCCTGCTTGTGACAGTGAAGTGCTCCTCCACATAGACTATATGAAACTTTCAATTCTCAATTTTATGTATTTTTCTCCACCTTAGACTAAAATGAATATTGATTTTGTATCTGTTAAAATTTTCGCGTAATAAAAGTTCAGTGTTATATAAGAGAGAACGAGAACTATATCATATACACATCATTCTCACACAACCCAACCATGCAAGCAGCTGCTTAATGTTCTTGATGAAAATGCAAGAGGACTGATTACAAGTATAAGCAATAAGCAACATGCTTTGTATTTTTGTCTTTGAATAAGTGGTAATACACTGGTTTTTGGTGAAGACAGGTTTGTGTGAATACATAGAGTATAACTCCTGAATCATATATTATCTTCAGCACAAGGCTTCTATTATAGTGAATTATTTGAACCTTGATCTTCCTTTGTGTTGCTCAGTTTATTATTTGTGAGATTCTGAACTTGCTGCTTAATGATTTTGCTTTCAGATTCCTTTCCAGTTGAGCCTCCCACAATGGTGTCCATGGCAAGCTGGCCAGAATAAAGAAATAAACCAACAGAGTTGATGCCATAGACAAATGTAGCAAGGTAGCACAAGCCATTTATTATTGTCCTGTGAGAAATTATCATATGATTGTTAGAAGCCTAATAAATGAAACTATAAGGCCTTCAAAAAAGAGACAAGTTATGGAAGCTACCTTATAGTGATTGTTATCTGACGAACCTGAAAAGCAAACCATTTTCATTGTCAGACTATAAGGTGGGTTTAATGGTCATGCAGGGATGGTGTAAATCAATTTTATATTATCATCTAATCATAAATTACTTTAGATAATAAATTTGTTAGCTTTTATAATAACTAGAGAATTTTTTATACACAAGAAAGTTTATAAATCCTGAAAATCATAATCTTTGTTAATGATTAAAATTTGTTTGATTACTAATAAGTATTATTGGAATATTTACATTAAATGCGAAAATAAAGATAACATGACATTACATTTTAGCTTAGTAAAATTTTCTATTTAACTGGAGAATGTTAGGTTTTCATGTCACCCATAAGATCAATTTCATAAAATAAAATAATAAAAAACAATAAAAATAAATAAATAAAAAGAGAGAGAGTAAAAACCAAATCTGAGGAACACTAGTTCATGTGAATGTTATTTTTCGATTAGTAAACCAAATATAGGAATGACTTCCCCAAATTCCTAAAAAAGTAAAAAGAATCCTTCTACCAAACACCTCTTAAAAGTCATACAAAACAAATATTAATTTTTGATTGATTGATAGCGTTTCTCAGAGTGCATAAACATTAAACCTTATAAAAATTCTTGAATGTCACATGACTATTTAAAAGAAATATGACATATATTTTGATCTTAACCTTTTATATTAAGATTCAGTTTAATATATATATCTTCCTCTTACTCTGGTACTAAAATAACTTTCCCTTTACAAATCTCTTAAGATAGATTAGTGTACAGCAAAATTGAATAGTTAAGGACAGAAATTTGAGGGAAAAGGAAGTGATACTGACTGAGAAATTATCTGAAAGTGTTTGGCGTCCGAGAGAAGACTCAATAGATGTGGTGAACCTGTAGAGGAAAACAGCAATAACACCTGCTATAACTGCCCCTAACAATGCTTGGTCAGGTGAAGGTGGATTCTTGGCTTTGATGGAACTTGACCTCATAGCATTCAAGCTATCCAGTGACTTGTTCACTCCTGAAGACCTAAATTTCTAGAACCACCAAACCATTTCATTGAACAATATAGATTGAATCAAAGTTAACACATCATTTTAAGTGATATCACTTTGCAAATTAACGTGTACAAAGTCATATCACTATGCATATCAACAAAACCATAAGAAATTTAAAAATTACTTGATTATTTTAACACAAAGTCATGCTCCGGAACATTCATCTCTCTTGAGTCCACCTTATTCAAAATTTCGAGACAATTTCGAGATCTTATACTTAATTCTGGTGAATGCATTTATTATCTATTAACAATACAATTAAACTCTGGTGGAACTTTTGAAAAAGGTGTAAAGTTCATTTGATATGCTAAAAATATAGACCAACATATAGTTTTTTTAGGTTTGATTTTAAAAATAAAAAAAAAATCACGACACATGATAAGTTAGATAAAGAAAGAAAAAAAAAAGTTTTATTTACTACCTTTTCTTTACATCGATTCTTATTAAAAGGATTAGGCAACACCTTTGATTTAGGACTTATAATTTAAATCACTTAATTAAAAAGATATCACTACTAGAATTTCTCTTATTACATGTGACTTTTCATGCGAATTTTTATGAATTTTTCGTAAAAATTCGCAGAAAATATTGTTCCTACAAATTTTTCTGCAAAATGTTATTTGCAGGCCTTTGTGAATAATATGTTTTTGCGAATTTTAAAATTCGCAAGAAATTTTCCTGCGAAATTTTTTGCAAAAAAATTCGCAGGAAAGTTTCCTGCAAAACAAAAATCGCAGAAAATTCTGCAATAATATTTTTTACGAAAAAATTAAAGAAATTACTATAAATTCTATCAATAATTCTTCAATTTTTAAATGTTCACAATGAATTCATTCAAAACATTTGTTTCTACACCTCCAACATGTGATACATAATCTTTTAAATTCTAAGATTGTAGATTATAAGCCTAACACTCAACCATACAAATCAACTTGTAAGGTAAGTGTTGCCCTAACTTATATACTCTTTAATTGTTTTATTTTCAATCGATGAGGGACTTGAAGTTTTTTTAAAATATTAAACTTATAAGTTTAAATATTTTTTTGATTTTTCTTGCAGATTAAAATTGGTAGGAAAATCCGCAAGAAAAGTTACTTGCAAAATTTTTCTATCATTTAGTAAACATTACTTGCGAATTTATTTTTGCAAGAAACAAAATAAAATTCTTACAATATTTTTTGTAAATTTTTATCATGAAAAAAAGTTTCTATGATCATTAAAATTGTAGCAAAATTTGCAAAAATTTCTTGTAGATTATTTATCATAAAAAAAATTTGTAGGAAATATCTGTAAATTATTTTTCGCAAATAAATTCATAAAAAAAATTTGTGAAATTATTATTGCAAGAAAATTCGCAAAATATTTCTACAAATATTTTTTTTTTAGGAAAATTCATAGAAAAATGACATATTTTTAATAGTGAATTTTTAAAATAATGTTTACATTTATGACATTATTAATTAACTAACTTAATGCACTACTTTTAGTAGTCTTGAATCTCTCGATTAATTAGTTATTTGGTTTTTTGCGTCTTTATATTTAGACATTTTCTAATTATTGTCTCTTGAATTAATTATTTTTTTCTAAAATATCTCTAATTAATTAACAATATTTTTAGGTGAAAAAATAATAAATGCTTAAAATTAATGAGAGAAACTTTTTCTCTCTAATTAGGATTTGAGAAGTGAGTAGATTTATTTTTTAATATTATTTAATTAAATGATAAACAAATAAATAGAAAAAGAAATGATTAGTTTATAAAATGTTAACGGTACTTTTGATAAACCATTGAAATTAATATATATATATATATATATATATATATATA